TTAGCATGATTATGACCCCCCCACCCCACTGCTGGGAAGAGACTTTGAAGCATCGGATGCGTTCCAGCAGATTCCAAAACAGCTTCTTCTCCACTGCCATTAGTCTGCTGAATGTTTTGTAAAATATAGTATTTTATTATATTTTATTATTATATAAAAATAAATAAATGAAAATGTTAGAACTCTAAATTTACAGTCATGTTTATATTACTGATTTTATATATATTTTTTTACTATTTTTTCAAGGCTGCACTTTTAAAAAGATGAAATTGTCCAGAGAGCTGTTTCTAAACCAAATTTCTTTTTCTTTTTTTGTTTTTTTTTTTCAGAACAAAACATGTTTATTTTTTCCCCCACAAATTTTCCATATATATTTTTATTGGGTTAGCAGGGTACAATACATTCATTAACATGGGAATACACTTCACTTATCCCCCCCTCCCCTACATTCCCAGGAATACAGTGAGAGATGTTAACAATAAGCAAACATGATTCTCTCCCTCATAACGAGAAAACAAGAGGGGGGAACAGTTACCAACAAGCAAATTACAAAAAAAAAAGGGAAAAAAATGTTAATAAACAAACACAATTTAGAGGAGGGATCTAAAATGCTTAGAAAACCAAATCAAAAATATAACTATATTGTCTATTACATGTTTTGCTTAAAGTTCGACCACCAAATCCCTAACCCAACCGCTGGCCTCTCTTAAAATCCTGGCTGGTGATCCAACAGTTCAAACCACTGGAAAATCAGGAGTGATTCAATTAGAGAATTAGAGGGTTATGTCCATGTATCTTGATTAAAGCCATACTTTTTAATCATCTAGGGAGGAAGTTGAGTCAACTAAGGAAAGAATGGGATTCCAAGTTTTATAAAATTTGTCGACACATCCCCTAATGCTGTACTTAATTTTTTCTAAGTGTAGGAATGACATTAGATCCGAAATTTCTTTCTGTTTTGCACTTGTGTGAAGAAAATGACAAATAAATCTAAGTCTAATAATTCTAACATCACTGCTTCCAGAAACGGAGGGAGAGGGAGATGCAGCAGCAGATGGAGAGTCGAGACGAGGAGACGCTGGAGCTGAAGGAGACCTACAGCTCTCTGCAGCAGGAGGTGGACATCAAAACCAAGAAGCTGAAGAAGGTCAGAGATCAATGTTGCTCTGGGGATAAAAAACGGTTTTATGATCAAAGTCAGTTTTCCCTCTAAGCATCAAACCTGCCGGTTGCCTTCATCCTTCACTCGTCTTCATCACCGAAAGATTTAAAGTCCAGTTTTTGTCAAACTGACTTTGTTCTTCTGATGTTTTCTGTTCCTCAGCTGTTTTCCAAGCTGCAGGCAGTGAAGGCGGAAATCCAGGACATCCAGGAAGGACACATCAAGGAGCGGCAGGAGCACGAGCAGACCCAGAACGAGCTCACCAGAGAGCTCAAACTCAAGTATGGAGCGCTCTGCTCTGCTTTCACCCATCAGGCCTTCAAATCTGCTCAGATTTTAAAGATTTCACTGATTCTGCAAAACATCATCATCATTATTAGTTATTGAAGGCCAGATAAATGGATACCATCCTTTTAGCACGAGAAGCTGCTTAAACTGGAACCGTTGATCTTTCAGACACCTGATCATTGAAAACTTCATCCCACTGGAGGAGAAGAACAAAATCCTCCACAGGGCTTTCTACGACGAGGAGGATGAGAGCTGGAAGATGAAGGCCATCAGCCGCACCGATGAGTAAGTTTGGAGCTAAAGCAGCGTTTGCAGGTTAAAAGCTCTGATCCGTTTCTCTGGAACCAGATTAAAATACGTCTAAAAACAATCGGAGGAGGAGGAGGAGCGCACTCACCAGAGCCGCCCAGAGAAACTCCAGGCGGGAATCTTTCACCTCCTCATGAAGCAGGAGGTGAAGCCGCCTCCCTCTGCCTGGCGTCTGCTCTGGTTCCTCTGCTTTCCGCTGCACCCGTTAGACTGGAAGCTTTACCTGCTGCTGTCTGTCATCTCGCCACAGGGACCATCAGATGATGTCACGGCCGCCGTCCGCCGTCAGCTACAGGAGGCCTCTCAGTCACTTCGCCCTCACCTGCCAGAGGATGAACTCTGACCCACGATACAAAGTGAGTCGCTTTCCTCTTCAACTGATAAACATGATTCCCTTCAGGTTTCATCTGAAGTTCTGACGTCTTTGAAACACGATGCTACGTTCTGAGCTTCTTCAGCGGGTCTCCTCTTCCTCCTGTTGCAGGAGCGTTTTCCTCTCCACTGTCGCCTCCATCCAGGAGGAAGCAGGCAGCCGCTTTAGATAATAAACTGAACTTTACTGGGAATGATGGGAACGTCTGTGTTTGCAGGACGACGTGAGAATCGCCACTAAATAAACAGTTTATTTTAGTATAAAACTTGATCCTTTTCTTATTTAATCATCTAAACATTTAAAAAATCATCGTAGAAATGTTTAGTTTCAGTTTAAATCCTGTAGTTGATCTTAGTTTTGAGTTTTAACTGATTATTCAGGTTCTCGGCTAAATTCCTTTTGAGCCCATTAGTTTGAACCTCAGCTACACCCACCCAAAAAAAATGGTTTAAACCGGGAAAAACAGTTTTTAGTGGCAGTGGGAACGGCTCACTGACCCGAGTCAAATGACTCGGCTCACTGACCCGAGTAAAATGACTCGGCAACCGACCCGCGTTAAAATCCCCTCAGTTCTGATCAGCATGCTGTGGGAAAGGCGGGTCTCCAGCTAAATTACGTGATGCCATTGAACGCAGCGTTTGCACGTCAACACAAAAAAATGAAAAGCATCATGATTTATTATTATCTAGAGACCATTAATAACAGAAGGTGAAATGCAGCTCCAGACTAGCTTTGAATGTGATGATGTCATCAGTACGCCGCTGTTCCAATTGACCCAGACTTCTTCTGCGTGCTCCGTTCTCCCCGAGTCCAGACTTTCCTGGGTTCTTCTCTAGAACACGAGTCGGCACTGGCGTTGTTGGGAACTGAGAAACGGCCTCTGTTTCCATTGGATAAACGTGGAGCAGCTCTGGGATCCAGACAGATGATAGAGAGAAACAGTAAAGCACACTGATTACGCCCTGGCTTCCTTCCATATTGCTCTTCATTGTTTACTCTCCTGATTTCTGTCGCACTGGTGACATCAACGCTAACCCAGCAAGATGGAGTCATCAGACTCGTAGCGGTGGGGGGGGATGACAGAGGCCACGCAGCTACCAGTGAGGAATGAGAAAAAAGCCAAAAGCTGATTGTCAGCGAATGACCCGGTTTTGAAAAACCCGGGTTTCAGTGGGAAAGCGGCTTCAGAAACTAACAAAACGAAGGGATCACTTAACATTTTTTTCAAAGATTGGACCCTGATTAAAGTTCCTTAGTGATGAAAGTTTGGAAAAGAAACAGAACTCAGGGTCTAGAGTCCTCTTCTGACTGACCCGTGTGCGTTTGGTTCCTCAGGCTGAAAACATCCTGATGGTGGACCTGGACCTCCCCGCACGGACCACTAAAGACTACCAGGAGCCAGTTATTGCCCCACAGGTGGCAGCCGCCCTGGAGGACGCCCTGAGAGACGAGGATGAGGTCCAGGTAGACGCGTCAGGCTTCCGCAGCAGCCTGGGTGCGGCCCCGCCTGCCGGCGGCAGCCTGAAGAAGCCGAAGTCTGGGTGAGGAAAACCTTCAGCTCACAGGAAGCGTCACGTTTCGCCTCAGCTTCTGACTGAAGGTTTATTATCTGCTTTCTGTCTTTCAGCCGGCCGACAACCAGGAAGAAGCCCAGCACGCCGGCCTCTCCCATCAGCCCCCGCGGTCCAGGATCCGCCCTCTACCCAAAGCCCCGCGGCCTGGTGCCCAAATGACGCCTCCCTCCCCCCTCTTTTTTTTGTTTTTCCCCACAGGCGCCCCTTCCCACGCACCGCCCCACTTTAAGCCTGGTTATGTTTGAAGTTCACCATTTAGGCCGCCATGCATGACGCCTCCCATCACACTACACTGAGACCGCCTCCCAACACTTTGAGCCGTTTGTCTTAAACGTTGACAGAGACTGCAGCGTCCTCTGAGCGCTTTGACCGCCTCCCGTCCGACCGTCGCTCTTTGAATCCATTTTCAGGTCATGGTTAAACGCGCTCTGTCATTTTCACCTGTTGGAGCAGAAAGGAGAGTCAGTAATCAGTGCTGCTGTTCCACCTGAGGCCAGCAGGGGGAGACAGAGGGACCGTCAGCATGGGGGCGAACCGCCACCTCAGATACATCAGGGTTCCCAGGTGCCTTAAAGCTGCAGTTTGCAAATATATTCATTAAATCGTTCATATTTAATAATTCGCTCATTGATGCTTTAATTTATTCATTCATGCATCCATTCATTTATTTGTGCGTTTATACATTCAAGCGTTCCCTACATGGGGGGGGTCAATCTTTGGATGCTGAGGTGAATCTATGACCGGATGAATCTTTCGGCGTGGATCTGGTCTCTAAGGCGTCATTCATTCCTTATCGCTCCGTTGAAACACTTGAATTTGCGCTCGCTGCTCTGCCTCTGTTACTGTGACGCTGCGCTGGTTTCTGGCTGCTGCTGTGGAAAAGGCCCACTGTGACGCTCGTCCCACTGTGGGGAGCTGGAACCTTCCACGCCTGTGGAGGTTTGGGATATTATTGATAGGCAATCCTTGGAAGAGTTAAGATGACACCTAGGTTACCATATTAAAGAGAAAATGTACTTATAACTTATTGAAATCTTTTGTTTTTTATATGCAGTTGTAGATTTAATTTTTATATACTTTTATCTGTGAAATACTTTTATTTTTTTTTTTGGAGCTTTTGAATTTAAGGTTAAAAGATGTATTTTTAGCGTCTTACATGCAGTTTGTGCGTTTTCTATTCACCGTGGCTTATTTTGCGTTTGGATAGTTTTCCTGAGATGAAAGTGGAGAAAAATGCTGGATTCGTAACTCAGCCGAGTTTTTCCTGCTACCTTTGAGTAAAAGCGTGCCGCGTGGAGCCGGCCGCCACCGCGCCGTGAACGCGTCGCATGGTCCGAGGGTCCGGGAACACAGCTGGTTTTTATCTGGATCAACAAGCTGCTGAACTGGATCCAAACCTTTAGAAATATGTGACCAAACTTTAATGCACTGGTTTTCTTTCCAGAATAAATGTCGATTCTGTTTCTTTTTTTTCTTTTGTTTTCTCTCCACCATTAAAAACATGTTGGTGAAAACATCCTGGTGTGTTCATGTGTGTGAGTGAGAAATAATGTAAATTATTTTAAATTAGGGGACAAAGGGAGCTCTCCATGGTTCTGTCCTTGTATATAAACATGTTTTATTTGCTGGAGCTGCTTCTCCTTTCAGTTCAACTATCATTTATTGATCTGAAGGAAAATAAAATGCTTTTAATCTTTGCAGGGATGTTAATAGGAAAGCTCTCCTGTAGTGGTCTGTCATCCAGCAGCTTTGAACAGCCTCTGACTGAAGACAGTTTGTGTTTAACAGTCTGATCAAGAGAATGCTCACTGTTGCCCTTATTTTTAATTCCTTATTTTATTTTTGCTTTAAAATTCATCCATCTGTCAGCGTTACAGTGGTGCCTGCATCGTTTAAGAGAATTTAGAGAAGCCAATCAACTCACGATCATGTTTCTGCTCTCTGGGAGGAAGCCGGTGTTCTGTGAGACCAGAATAACCAGAGCCCATTCATCCATTTAGTTTTGTACAAAAAATAAACTTTAAACTACCTCAATGGGCATGCATCCCTTTAGTCATATACAAACATAGTTTAATTACTGTTTGGGTTTTTTGTTGAAGCGTATGGCGATCTGACCTTAAGTTGTTTTTTGTTCATGACTTCAGGGATTCACGCCCCTTTAGGTAGTTTAAAGTACATTTTCGTACAAAACTAAAAGGATAAAAGCAAATCCGACACCTTCCGCATGCATATTGACTAAAGGTGTGCTGATCTGACAGAACATTGGAGTACCTGGAGAGAACCCACACAGCACAGGGAGATCATGCAGAAAGACTCCGGGCTGGGAATTGAACCTGAAACCTTCTTGCTGCAAGGGAAGAGTGCTACAAACGGCTGCATTATGCAGATAAATTATGTTTCTGTATAACAAAGGAATTTGTTTAGAAAACTGAATCTCTAATATTTAAATGAACAAAGATCGAAATAACTTCCTAACAGACATTTAAAAAGGGCTTTTTACTCCTTTATTTCACTAAAAACACCAAATCTGTCAGCGCAGATATGACGATCAGTGAGAGAGCAGGATGTCTTCAGGCTCAGTCCTGAGTTGCTGGTTCAATGCCCTGCTGTAACCGTGTCAGCTGTGGCTGCAGTGTAGAGAACCACCATCGGCGTGTGAGGGAGAGCAAGTGAAGCGCTTTGAAGTCCTCCATCTTGGGAAGGTCAAACGCTAACAGAGCATCTAATGAATTTTCTTTCCTCACAGAACATCTTCAGTGGAGGACAAGCCTTGTTTTGTCATCTCTAAAATCTGCTGGTGAAGATTCTCAGTCATCCAGGTCATAGTGATTAAAAAAAAAAAAAAAAAATCAATCCTCTGGACTTTGTTTCCAAGTTTGAAGACGTTTCTCTTCCATCCAGGAAGCTTTTTCAGTACAAAATGTCAGAAATAGCGTTTAGTTCCAGGTTTTATCCAGCCGCCCAACAAAGCCTGGTTTTAGTTTAGAAAACATGCAAATAGAAACGGATGAACGGGTCCCCCCCTTTCTTTGTTAGCCTGCAATGCCCCATACCTGTCTATGCCTCTGAAAGGGGGGGTCATTAAAGGGAAAAGTGTTAGTGAAAGGGACCCCCCTATATATATAAATAGCTATATAAACACCCCTTGCAATAATAATCCTACTTAAAAAACTGTATATATCCCATGCACCCTTTATTCCTTTGCCACATCATTCTTCTTGTTGACTATTTGAGCTGATGGAACGAGTACATTTCTCCACTGCGAGATCAATAAAGTCAATCAATCAACAACAAACAATAGAAGCTATGCAGAAGCAGTGAGGAGAGTTTAAGGACAAAGGAATGAGAAATGAAGAAAGATCAGAATCAGGTACAAAAGTGAAGGAAGAAAGAGCAGATCATTTCATTCCAACAGCAGAGAAACACATTTTGTTCATAGCATACTGTTAGGTTCAAAAATGTAGGTTCGTAAAAGAGGACTGAGTCCACACAGAAAGGGATTTTCAACAGCTCCTGCAGAAGGAGAAAAGGCTAAACCCAACTTTCCAACTCTCTCCCGGACCGTCCTTTCCTGCAGTGCCTTTTATTAACAGAACATAACACATGGGGTGGGTTACAAAACAGTATTCTTCTGACAGGACAATTGATCAGGTCATAAGACAAAATGCTCCACTGATTGAGGAAAGGAGATGCTTCAATCTATCTTGTGATTCAATGTTTCATATGCACACACATTTACTTTGGGAAAAAGTTTGGGAACCCCTATTAATCCAAACACCCTCCTCATTTGTGGGAAATTCGCCTATTTAGCTTACCTAAATCGAAGAGCAAATAACTGAGGAACTGTAAGCCCAAATTACATGAGTGATACATTATTTGAAAGCCAACACTTTCTAGTTTCTGAATATATACATGAAAATTGGTAAAACACCCAAGCTGCATCAGTTCAAACATGACTCAAAGTTTTTTTTTTTTGTATTATTCTCGAAAATAAGTATTTCTGCTTGCCTGTTGTGGCTTGTTACCGGTGTAAATTTCATTGTAAACGTTTTAAAATGGTAGGTTTTGAGAGGTTAATATTAAAACCAGAAATAAAGACCGGATGCTTCCCTCCATCTCCATCATTTTGTGTTGGTCCATTAAACCTCAATTCAATACTGAAATTTTACTGTGTCGATCAGTTATTAGATATATCAAACTGAATTAGCTGCTGCAAACACTCAAATATTTAGAAATAAAAACAATTAGGATTAATGGGGGGGCCTTAACTTTTTTATATGACTGTGTGTCTTTAGCTGCTCAGACCGAGCAAAGCAGAAAGCAGAGAAAATCAGGATCAATGAGAGATGAAAAGTTTCTGGGACTTAAACTTTAATTCTGGTGTTAATAATGAATTTAATGAATACATGAATAGGATAGAAAATGTAATAAAATTGATAAATTAAAAGGACAGAAGGAGGATTTAGTTTAATCAATATTAAGTATAAAACTTTAAAATATTGTTAATAATAAAAAAACAGAAAATATATTAGATAAAGATAGAGGATATTGGGTTATTATATTTGGAAATAAAGTAGATAAATATATTGTTTAGTAATGCACTTTCAACTGTTTGCCCACCGCCATTAAACTTCCCAAAGAAGAAGAAATGTTTCCCTTTGCCCTTCAGCGCCCCCTAGCTGTAGAACAGCGGCCCAACCTGCTGCAGCTGTGATGAAAGCTGGGATCCAAAACTTTCAGGAAAGTTTCTGCTTCTTCTGAGGCGGTTCTGGAGAAGTGGGGTCCAACCGGTACCAGCAGGAGGGGAGCGACGTTAACGACATGAACTCACCGCCATCTTTAAAATCCACTTTATTACCAACAGCCAATGAAACAGCTTCAAGCACTCTGATCAGAAACCATTTAAAAAAACAGGAGCAGAATAATTATCTCCATTCAGCAGAAGAACAAACACACCAGCAGCCGAACATCTGGAGCAACAAACCACCTGCAAACAGGCGAAGCCGTCCAGACGACGCCATCTTTTCTCAAACGTATTCATAACTCTCATTTCCCTGTTTGCTGAAGAGTTCATCATGTTCAACAATTTTTTCAAACTTTTTCACTGAATTATAGCAGTTTTTGAATATTTTTTTTTCCTGGTCGCCGTTTTAGCTCCAGATTTAGCCTCCGTTTGGCAGAGACTCAGAAACACCAAGGAGTCCAGAGGAGACCAGAGACGCTCGGTTATTGGCTAAGATCAACGACACACAAGACATCAGAAAAATGTTCACATCACTTCAAGTCATGTAAGTAAAGAAACCAAATTATTACATAAAAAGTACTGAGTACACGGTAAGAGAAAAAACTTTTACGCTGAAGAATATTGTTATCATGCTGGTTCGTTCATGTAAAAAGGAACTGGATTCTGCATCTTCCTGGTCCTCGTGGTTCAGAGAGGCGAGCGGGACGAAGAGGAGGATGGAGGCTTTTCTTTGGATACACATCGAAGGATTTTAGCTCCAAATTAGACCCAAAGAATAAAACGTGTGCATAGAAAAAAATGGAAAAATTCAAGCTTCTTTCAATATTCTACGCCTCTTCTCAAAAAGTTTTCAATCAGTTGGTCTCAGAAAGCAAACGGATCTAAAGCGAAGTTCAGGCCGGTTTCCCCCAGGCTCCGTTTGGCCCCGGGGAGCCAGGAAGGCTGCAGGTTTTCCTCAGCGGACATGTTTCTACTGACGTTTTCATTTCTGCAGAAGCTGGTAAGAGCAGAGAAAACTGTGATGAGCTGAAACAAAAGAAAAGGAGACGCAGAGACGGCAAAGAGAGCCGAGAAACAGGCAGAAAGGTTTCCGTCTGATGGCGAGGTTTAGTCCTAAATCAGGGGTGTCAAAGTGGTTCCAGAAAGGGCCGTGCCGCTGCAGGTTTTCTTTCCAACTAAGCAATAGCAACCAGACTCCATTCATCTCATCAAGGGAGTCCAGTCTGAACATGATGACTTGATGAGACGGCCATTTCTGGAACCACTTTGACACCCGTGTCCTGAATGATGACCTCCAAACTGCGGAGTGTTTTCTAAACAAATCTGACCATAAAGCTGCTGTCACACCTTGACGATTTAGACAAACGTATGTCGGAAAAATAGCAAAAACTCTGGCATACATCGACAGACGGCGAGAAATTAAGTTAAGTTGATTAGGTCAAGTATAAGTTCCTCATCAGTCGTGGCGTCTAGCTTATCTTAAACCTCTGAGTAACTTGTGCAGAACTTATCAAGAGCTTCTCTCTATGTTTACGCCCAGAATAGAAAAAAAATCCATAGAAAGTTCAGCGTATTCCAGCGTTTTAGGAGATTCTGGGACGTCAGGCAGACGCTGGATAAACCAGCGAGGTGTGACAGGAGCGGAGGCGCCTGACATCCAGGAAGCTAGCAGCTCAGAACGCCATTGCTGAAGGGAAATGAAAGACGGAGGGCAGGTGGAGGAGGACCCTAAACTTGACGTCATCACTGTGGTTCCACCTTTAGTGGCGGCGTGATGGAAGATGTTCACTGAGGAAAACCTGGACTTCTCCTTCCTGCCTCCATTAATGAGGAAAACATGCGGTGTTGGATAAACGGATCCATGGCTGAAGCTAGGCGAGCTAACGGACCGCGGCGGAGACTCAGCCTCGCCACGGCCGACTTCGCTCTGATTCTGGTCCCGGTTCTCATTCGCTGATTTTTTGAATTTGTAAACTCTTCATTTGTGGGATTTTCATCTCAGAATCCCGCCTTAAAGCTGGTGGAGGTGTAAGCCCCGCCCCCCCAGACCCAGGATAAATAAACAGGTCGGATTCTTCAGTCTCTGGAAACAGAATGGAGTAAAGAGCAGCTGAGAGACGGGAGGATGGAGGGGATGGTCCGGCTGTCGACTGTCCAGTTGGAGCAGAGGCCTTGGCAGATTCATTTCTCTCTGTAGAACAACAGGTACATCTTCAGAGGCTCGGGGAGCGGCAGGCCCAGGATCCGCTCCCTCAGGAGGTTCACCGCTGGCTGGGGGCGGAGCAGCTCGCCCGTTTCCTTCTCCTCCTCTTCGTCTCGTTCCTCCACCTCCTCCTCCACGGTCTCCTCCTCCTCCACCAGCCTCCCTCTGCCGGCCTGTCGGCTCCCCCTCATCGGCCGCCTGGCCTGCCGCTCCCCGGCCGCCTCCTCGTCCTCCGCCCGCCCCTCCTGGTTGTTGTTGCTGTCCAGGGAGGTGGGGGCCACCCCGCTGCTGGCCACCGCCTGTCGGGTGGCGAGCATGAGAGCGTTGCAGTGGCGGCGGTGAACGCGGCGGCGCTTGAAGCGGGGGCCGTACTTATGGAGGCCGGCGGCTGCCAGTCCCCTGCCCACGCTGAAGGAGGAGCCTCGGCCGCGGGACTGGCCGTCCCCCTCGTCCGGGGTCACTCTCAGGGTGTGGCGAATGCAGATGCGGGCGAGTTCCTGCAGCGTCCGGACCTCGTACTTGGCTGAAAGATCAGGAAACAAGAAGAAAGAGATTAACGGTCAAAATGGCCGATGGTCAGAGAACCAGAGCAGAACCAGAGCAGAACTTGAAAGGTTCTAAGGTCTAAAAGTTGGTCCTCCTCTCTGATGGCGTTCAGGCTTTAGGAGCAGAGCTCCGTTCAGAGCCACCTTCATGCTAGCAGGTCCGGTTCTGAGTAGAAATCAGCTTCATCTCTTGGTTTTATCCTTCAGACGGTTTGACTTTTAACAGACCATGCTAATCCTCCTAAATGTAAGCAGCTAGCTTGATCAGCGGGTATTTAGCCGCTTTCAGGACGGCTCCATCTTTCCTCTGAGCTCCTGGCTGGTCTCCCAGCATGCAACACCTCATCCCGCCTCCAGAGGGCAGCGTGACCACCTAGCTGGCTTCCTGTCTCCATCCTTAAAGGAACAATGAGTCATTAGCCTCTTAAATCTAGAGGCTAGCAGCTGCTGTTATCAGGGAAGCTTTAATCTTTGTTCACTTCTTCATTTTGGCCTCTAAGCATAAGCAGAATTTTTTATTGCTTAAAGGTGACAAACTTTCTCCTCCTTAGTTTGTAATTCCAGGACCTAAGAAGGGATTTTAATCTGTTACCGTAGAGATGAACCTTGGTAATATATTACTGTAATCTCCTAAGCATGACGGGGAAACCTAAAACTATGAAGATGCTGCTGCATCGCAGTAATCAGCAACATGGTGGGACCTCTGCATCCCTGAAGCACAGAGCTTTTCATTAGACTTACGCAGCGGCGCCATCTTGGCTTTGCTCTTCGGACTGTGCTTAGGCAGAACCAGAGGAGCAAAAGACACAGAGATGATCTTCTTGGTCTCCCAGCTGTTCACTCCGGTGCGGATAATCTTGGTCAACTGCAGAGACACAACAGGAAGAAGTCATTCAGTGATAGCAGCAGATAGCAGCTGATGGGTCGACCGGCGCTCTGAGAGGCTGGGATGTTCCGTCTGACCCGGCTGCCTTTGTTAACCAATGTTCTCCATCAACTTCCAAGCAGCTGAGCTTCATGACCTCATCTGGTGATTTCTGAGAATTAAGACCTGATGCATGACTTGGTTTATTCCATAAACTCTCGGTTAGTCAGGAATAGGGTTGCCTGCCGTCCCTTGAAAAACGGAATCGTAAACGCTGACGCTGCTAATCGTCAGGAGCGTAGCGATGGTGATGAAGCCACAAGCTTTAAAAACCATGAAACACGAACCTGTTAAGGAGGGAAGAAGAGAGGAGGACTAACCTTCTCCTCCAGAGGCATCACCAGGATGCCCCCCACCTTCAGCAGGTTCTTCATGTACTCCTCGTGCTCCTTCTGCACCCCCGCCCCGCAGTAGACCCTGTCGTAGTGGCGGCTCTCAGGTGGGATCTCCAGGCAGTTCCCGACCACGAACGACGGCTCACAGAACTCAAACCTGAAGAAAAACGGGAATCCAGTGATTTCCAGAAAAAAAAAAAAATTTGGTTCATTATGAAAATATAACTTCTGCTGCAGAACCTTCCAGCGCGAACGGAGCGGCTCCACTATCAATCCATCAACAAAGGATTTTAAAATTGATTTAATACGTTTTAAAAGCTATTAAAAGCTTCTGACCAGAACTCTGCTGAACTATTAATGCAAGATGGGAAGACTTGGTAGAAGAAAGATGGCAACAGGTCTGTGACCCTCATAACTTCTGAAGACTTGGAGAGAGAAGAACAAGTCCATGATCAGCATCGTGGGAACAGACTCGGACAGGACATGGACCAGACATGGAAACAGGACATGGACACAGACATGGACCAGACATGGAAACAGGACATGGACACAGACATGGACCGGACATGGAAACAGGACACGGACAGGACATGGACCGGACATGGAAACAGGACATGGACA